TGTCCTGCCCTTGGGGTCCCTATCCTGCCCTCGGGATCCCTGTCCTGCCCTCGGGGTCCCTGTCCTGCCCTCGGGGTCCCTATCCTGCCCTCGGGATCCCTGTCCTGCCCTTGGGGTCCCTGTCCTGGGCCTTGGGGTCCTTGTCCTGCCCTTGGGGTCCTTGTCCTGCCCTTGGGGTCCTTGTCCTGCCCTTGGGGTTCCCTGTCCTGGGCCTTGGGGTCCCTGTCCCAGCCTCGGGGTCCCTATCCTGCCCTCGGGGTCCCTGTCCTGCCTTCGGGGTTCCTGTCCTGGCCTTGGGATCCCTGTCCTGGGCTCAGGATCCCCATCCTAGCCTCGAAGTTCCTAGCCTAGCCTGGGGGTCCCATCCCAGCCCCAGGATCTCCATCCCAGCCCCAGAATCCCTATCCCAGCCCCAGAATCCCTATCCCAGCCCCAGGATCCCCATCCCAGCCCAGGGTCCTGTCCCAGCCTCTCACCTTGGCAGCAAAGTCGTTCCTGGCCTTGTTGAACTCGTCCAGGGCGTTCTGCAGGGCCGCCACGCGGCCCTCGATCCGCTGGGACACAGCAGGGACATGTCACCCCCACACAGGGACAGGAGCACGCCAGGGGGATGGCAGGGAGCACCCTCAGACGCCAGCCCCCCGGGTGGGATCCTCACCTTCTCGGAGTAGCTGGAGTGCACGTGGAAGTTGCCCAGCTCCTGGTGGTTGTCGTCCTGGTTGTACAGATCCTTCAGCGTGTCCCGCTCCTGGTGCCGGCAGAACTGGGGGCACGGTGGGGTCAGGGGTGGGGGGAGCGCCCGGGGGGACATGGGAGGGCAGGGAGGGGGTCAGGGGGCAGGGTCTCTCTGCCCTCACCTGCCGGTAGAGGCTCAGGGCCACGGGCTGGTTCTGCAGCGTCATGAAGAAGGTGCCGCGGTTCAGCTCGTTCTTGAGGTGCAGCACGACCGTGTAAACTGGGGGGGACAGGGAGATTGGTTTGGTTTTTATGCACCCCCTGGCACCCCGTGTGCCCCTCAACACCCTCCCAAACCACACAAGCTCCCAAGGGGCTCCTCCAGACCCCAAAACACTTCTGCCCTTGCCACAGCCCCTCATTGTCCCTCACCCCACAACACTCCCAAGGGGCTTCCCCAGACCCCAAAACGCTCCCAAGGCCTCCTCCAACTCACCCACCCCTCCCCAGACCCTCCACTGTCCCCCCCTTACCCACATCGGTGTTCCCGCTCCCGATGGCTCCCCCAGCCCCCTGATGTCCCCCCTCACCCAGATCCGTGTCCCCACTCTCGATGGCCTTCCCCAGGGCCAGTTTGCTCCGTTTCATCTTCAGCAGCAGCGGGACCTGTTCCCCGGAGCGTGGCTCATACTCCAGGAGCTGGGGGGGCAGGGGAGGGTCACTGGGTGTCCCCCTGTCCCCACTGTCCCCCTCCCCAGTCGCAGAGCCCACCTT